AATATGTTTCTCAGTGTGTGGGCTCCATTTTTACTCTTTTGCTGAAATCTTTTCATACACTTAAGTTTCTCATTTTTATTATGTCCCAGTCTTCTATTTTTGCATTCTATTGTTTGTGCATTTTTTGCAGTGTTTGATAGTCTATGTATGCCTTGTATAGAGCCCTTAAGTTTGTCTCTGTTTTTTCATCAATGGTCTTTATAAATTCTGTGATTTACTTTTAGGTCTTTAATCCATATGGTGAGAGATATAATTCTTGTTTTATTCTTTTGTAAATCAATTTCCAATTTTGTCAGCATCATTTATTGAAGAGACTTTATCTACCCCCACTTAATGTATTTGGGCACTTTGTAAAAGATCTGTTGACTGTATGTAGATTGATTTACTTTTGGATTCTCAATTATGTACCATTGATCTATGTTTCTTTCACTGTGCCAATACCAGGCTGTTTTGACCACTGTGGCCATATAGTAAATTCTGAAATCAGGGAGTGAGAATCCTACAACTTTGTTCTTCTTCTTAAGCAGTGCTTTCCTTATCCACAGCCTCTTTCCCTTCCATATAAAGTTCATGATCATTTTATCCATCTCTTTAAAGAATGTTATTGGAATCTGGATTGGGATTGTTGGAATCTGGATTGGGATTGTGTTAAATCTGTAGATTACTTTGGGCAGTAACTGATATTTTCACAATATTAAGTCTTCCTATCCATGAACATGGTATATTCTTCCATTTTTTAAAATCTCTTTTGGTTTCTTGTAGTAGTGTTTTGTAGCTTTCTTTGTATAAGTCTTTTGTTTCTCTGTTAGATTTATTCCTAAATATTCTATACTTTGAGTGGCTATTGTAAATGGTACTGTTTTCTTAATTTCCTTTTCAGAGTTGTCTTTATCAGTATGTTGCTGTTGTTAAGTACCATGGAGTCAATTCCGACTCATAGTGACCCTGAACAGGGTTTCTGAGGCTGTAAATCTTTACGGGAACAGAAAGCCTCATCTTTCTCCCACAGAACGGCTGGTCGTTTCGAACTGCCAACCTTGAGGTTAGCAGCCTGACTTGTAACCACTACGCTATCAGAGCTCCTTTATTTATTGTTAGTATAGAGGAAGTCAACTAATGTTTGTATGTTGATCTTGTTCCCTACCACTTTGCTGAATCTTCCAATGAATTTCATTTTTTTTGGCTGGGTCTTTGAGATTTTCTATATATAGGATATCATCTGCAAATAGAGTTTTATCTCTTCCTTGCCCATTTGAATGCCTTTAATTTCCCTTTCTAGGCTTATAACTCTGGCTAAGACTTCCAAAGAAATATTGAATAGGAGTGGTGATAAAGGGCAACGTTGTTTGGCTCCTTTTCGTGAATAGAATGCTTTTAGTTTCTCTCCATTGAGAGTAATGTTGGCTATTCATTTTGGATTTGTTGTTGCTAAGTGCCATTGAGTCGGTTCCAACTCATAACAACCCTGAAAAAGGTTTCCAAGGAGCTGTTGGTAAGTTTGAACCACTGACCTTGAAACTGAGTACTGTATATATACTTGCAATTATGTTAAGGAATTTCCATTCAATTCCTACCTGGTTGAGTGTTTTTTATCAGATATGGATGTTGGATTTTGTCAAATGTCTTTTCTGCATTAATCAATATGATCACGTGGTTATTTTCATTTTTTAAATGTATATGGTAGATTCCATCATTTTTCTAATAATGAACCATCCTTGCATCCCTTGTATGAATCCCACTTGGTCATGATATACATTTTCTTGATATGCTGTTGGATTCTATTGGCTAGGATTTTGTTGAAAATGTTTGTATCTCTGTTCAAACATAGATGTTTGTCAATATTAAATATCCTAATTAGCAATATTAGTCTATAAATTTTGTTTTTTAGTGATGTCCTTCTGTGGTTTTAGATGAGGATTATATTTGCCTCATAAAATGTATTATTAGTAAGTTTTCCATCCTTTTCTATATTCTGGAATAGTTTGAAAAGAATTGGTGACAGCTCTTCTCTGAATGTTTGGTAAAATTCACCATTAGATCCATCTGGGCATGGATTTTTTTGGTTGGCAGTTTTTTGATACTTGATCAATTTCTTCTTTCTGTTCAAGTTTTTCATCATACTGTGATAGTTTAGGTAGGTCATGTTTTTCTAAAAATGTATCAATTTCCTTTAAATTTTCAAATTTGTTGGAGTACCACTCTTCACCATACTCTGTTATTATCCTTTTTATTTCCATTGGTTCTATTGTGATGTCACCTATATGGTTTCTTATGCATGTTTCTTGTGTCTTCTCCCTTTTTTCTTTTGTTAGATTTGTCGTGGTGTCGATTTTATTAATCCTTTCAAAAAAACAGCTTCTTGTCTTGCTGGTTCTTTCTGTAGTTTTTCTGTTTCCTATCTCATTTACTTCTGTTCTAATCTTCACTATTTCTTTTCTGGTGACTATAAGTTTACTTCACTGATCTTTTTCTAATTGTTGCAGATGTTGTGTCAATGTGTTGATCTTGATTCTTTCTTTTTTGATGTGTACATTTATTGCTATAAATTGCTCTCAGCACTGCTTTTGTAACAGATCATTTATTTAATACACATAAAATACTTCAACATCAACAATTTGATAAACAAGTATACTAGACTCTTTTCAGTAATATAAAATTAAGAGCCTCAATTTATTGTGAAACGTATTTATGAAAGCTGACTAGAGTTAACACATATTAGTGAGTTATGTTGTTCTATCTCCATTATCAAAATTAATCATTTTTTAAAGAAATCAAGTTAACTTTTTAAAACACATCAAGCAATTAGTTCATTTAAATTAAGATATATTGAACTTAAAAAACAAATGCTTTAATATGGTAACTGTATCCCAGCATCAGAATAGACTTATAAATGAGGCATATACACTCAATGTGAGTATTTTTTCATTATTATGTATTCAATATCTTCCTTCTTCCTAGAAAAATATTAATGCAAAAGACCTAATAAAATGTTTTAAATCTACACAAAAGCTATGTCATAATGGAGCAGACCTGGTATGATATGCAATTACAAAAATACCTTTGTTGTTGTTATGTGTTGTCAACCCTGTACAGGGTTTCTGAAGAGCGACTGGTAAGCTTGAACCTCTGATCAAATTGACTGCAGTTTAAATTGACTTTGCAGGCCAAAGCATTAACTCACAGTGCCACACCAGGATTCCAAATATAGCTTGCAAGCAATATTATTGTTAACAGGTCTTTATACTTTTTCATATAAAATGACGGGATTTCAAAAAATTCATGGAAAAATGAAATCAAAAGATAATAGAATTTTTACACAAACTTTTCGGAGCCCCCTCTAATATAGCTAAATGAAAGAGCAAACTCATTGGCAGATACAGTAAACTCACAGATAAGAAGCATGTAATGTTCTCTGGTGAAAAGCAATTATTTGCTTAATAGAGCCTATGATTTCATTACCCTTAAATGAAGGTAGATCTCCAGTGTGAAATAAAATAATAAATGCACTACAAGGTGAACAATCTAACAATTGGAGGATTTTCAAAGGATTTTAATTCACTGAAAAGCTCATACAGTTTTAAAATTAATCTAAGCATTTATACTATTTTAGAAGTCTCTTGATGACACAAATGGGTAAGTGCTTGCCAATTAGCCAACAGATTAGAAGTCTGAATCTACCCAGGGAGGTAGACAGGCCTGGTGATTTGCTCCTGAGAGGTCACAGCCTTGCAAACTGTATGGAGCAGTTGTACTCTGCACACATGAGGGCAACAAGAGTCACAACTGACTTAATAGCAACTGACAACACATGCTGTTTTAATCTTACAGCTACACATGACTCATTATCTTAAATATTAATGAAGTGCTTTCTTGACATGATCCATTTTACATACATTAAGATGGAGTCCTGGTGTGGAACTATAGGAGAAGCACTTGACTGCAAGGTCGGTTTGAACTACAAGGTTGGCGGCTCAAACTCACCAAATGCACCTCAGAAGCCCTATCCAGGGTCACTATGGGTTGGAATCTACTCAACAGCATTTAACAACAACATCAGTGCCACACGAGGACTCCAATTATACATGGAAGTATTATTATTCCAATTTTACCAAACAGAAAACTAAGGCTCAAAAATTTTTAAATATGCCCAAGTTTTTTGGTCTTAAAAAAAAAAAATTGTTTCAATCTTGATTTTACTAAATCGATCATCTACAAAACATTGGTTTTTATATAGTTAGTTTATTTTGAAGCTGTCCTGGAATTATAATTCAACTATGAAAAAGGAAAAAGTTTTAACTTTGTTACATCAAAAGCTACTACTGGTAATCATACCTTGAATTTAAACCCAAAACTTCTTACTCCTAGATGATGTACTGTGTTATCAAAATATACAGAAATCAACTCAAGGACAACTACCACCTCACCATCATAGATTTATGTCACACTATGGTTTTCAACAGAGGAATTTGAAACATATGCCATGACTGAAAAATAATATGTACAAGCTGAGATGATATAATAATATATTAAAAACAGTAGTGCTAAAGTTTGAAAAACAAATAATCAAATTTAGAGGTCTGCCAGATTTACTGGATCCCAAAAGCATGCAAAAGTTTGAACATTAGACTTCTTCTTTTCTCTGATGAAATTCTTAATATCATATTTTTAAAACAAGACATACTGCTAATATGATCTTTATTTTAGGCTTATATTTCTTATCAAATCTTTCATAACGCAAATGTCCAGTTTATACAATGATGACAGCAACTAAATTGTGCCTTAAACTGCTTCAGAGACTGTGCCCCTTCCCTCCCAGGATCATTAACACAGTATTAAAATGATCCTAACTCAAAGGGTGAGAAATTAACCATATAAGGTGGTTTTATTAATTCAAGTATTCTTATCTGTCTTGAAACTGTAATAACAGGAGACTTAAAGCAGTAAGAAACTATCATGGTCACATTACAAACAATAGCAAACATAAAAATGAAAAGACTCACTTTGTTATCCTGCGTCACAAGCATACTTCCACCCCCAGGTTTCAAAGGCACCTCTTCCATTGCGCCAAACACATCAGTCTCAACAGAAAAAGTGAGTTCTAGGCCCAGATCACTAATATCATTATCTAAAATCCATTGCAAATTTTTGGCATATTCTGGATCAATGGATGCCACATCTTGGTAATTTACAGGAATACCTAAAAATAAAAAAGGCAAATATAAAATAGTTACATTACAGTCTTTGCCTTTCCTTATCTTTTTAATGGTAAAACACTGCCCTCTACAGATACTCTGTAAAACTACAAAATAAAATGCAATTCACAGGAAGATTTAAATAAATGGATGACAAGTCCTGTCTTTGTAAATGTGTTCAATTAAGCTTGTTTCTTCCAATAATACGTTTCTATGAAAATGTCATTTTTAAAACTCAAAAACACCAATTCTCTGAAGTATGTTCTTAAGTGCCATCAAGTTGGTTCCAACTCATAGAGACCTGGCATAGCATTTCCAAGAAGCAGCTGATAGGTTTGAACTACCAACCTTGTGGTCTGCAGTCCAGTGACTAACCTACAGTAATTATCCAGCACCCCAGGCATAACATACATACACTTAAAATAGGGGGAGAAGAACTTGCAGCTAAAAAGATACGAAAGTAGGTCTTATTGCTCTTCTTCAGGCCCCCAAATTCTTTATGCACACAGATGTTTTCCAATCAAAATTAAAGTATCATTCAAAACAGTATCATTTATATATTTATTTCTAAAAAACACTTTAAATGAATGTTGATAAGAACAATAATAGAAATTTACCAAGAATGTGTTTGTAGAATGATCTTGTGAAGTAAATATTGACCAGTTGCCTATGGTTCAAGGCTAACCCCAAAATCTGTCCAGCAAACCGGAAATAATTCAAGTGGTCTGGATTTACGTAAGAGTTGCTGTTGGGCTGAAAAGTTGTTCCTGTTTTAAAATATATATATACAAAATAACTTAAGCATCTACATGCAGAAGAAAAGGGTAATTTTAATGTACAAAAATTAATTCACATACAACTCTAGCAAATGCAAGATTGCAGTAGGTATACATTTTCACAAGAATGCTCTTTCTGTAATGTATGAACAGGTTAGTGTAACTGGAAGTACAGAGGTAAGCCTTAATTCTTCACATGTACTTATCTGGGTAAGTCTTTGTGCAGACAGAAAATGTTTAGAATACTTCTGACTAAAAGTAGTTGGAAGATGGGTCAGAGAGACTCTGGAAATAAATAATATACAAAAAAATCATTCACACACATGCACACTCATTTTCCTAGGCCATGAGGCAAAACTATGAGGCTGTGAAGCAGGACAGACACTGCTCATTCATTTTTACATTCCCAATACAGGAGGGATTCACTAGTTCTGATTCTTAAGGAATAGAGCACTATAAGAAAAAAACTGATATTTTAAAATACACAACTGCTCTTAAGTATTAGGCTTAGTCAATAAACTTAATGTCTGTTAATTAACAGAAAGTCACTTAAGTCCACAAAAGTCAACCAACTGCATCTCAGGGTAAAAAAAAAAAAAAAAATCAAGTTTAAACAGATACTACACCAAGGTAAAGGAGTCCTGGTGTGGCGCTGTAGGTTAATGCCCTAGACTGCAAAGTTTATTTGAACTGCAAAGTTAGCAGTCCAAGCTCACCAGCCACTCCTTGGAAACCCTATACAGGGTCGCTAAGGGTCAGAACTCACTCGATGGCACTTAACAACAACAATAACTTAGGTAATAGTAAAGACGACAAGGGTAACAGCATACTGCAAAAATCTAGTGAAATGGAAAAACCTAATAACAAGTATCACTTCCCAATTTGTATGTGATAAATACTGTGATTACAAATCCACTCAATCATTCAACAAGTATTTATTACATTCATGCAATGTACTACATTTGAGGCACCTAGCTAAGAAAAAAAAAACACAACGGCAGCTTTATTAAAGAAAGATAAAATAAGAGAAAGCATTAGAAAGTGAACTCTGTAGTCAGTGTACCTACTTAGATAAAAATCCACTTTATACTTCATTAATCTTTAATTTAGAGTCTTAATGTGGCACTACTAGATAAGCACTGGAGAGCAACGTTGGTTTGAACTGCGAGATAGGTGGTTCAAACTGAGCAGCCACTCCTCAGAAACCCTATACAGAGTCACTGTAAGTGGAAACTGATTTGAAGGCACTTAACAACAGTAAATCTTTCATTGATCATGCTGACAATGAACTAAACTGCCATGACCATCTTACTCAGATATAAGGTAAAAATTTGGAAGCTTATGGTTGAACAATTTAAAACGGGCTACACAAAACTCGTCACTCACTGCTACGTGCCTTTTTACAATCACTCCCAGTCGTGACGTAAGGCAAGACTGATACTGGAAATCAAAGCAAAGTTTTGTTGGTGGTGGTGGTAACTGCCACTGGGTCGGTTCCAAAAAGTGGCTGACAGGTTTGAACCACCAACCTTGAGGTTTAAACTGACCTTGTGGTCCAGTGCTTTATCCTACAGCACTACACCAGAACTACAAAGTTTTATTAGATGAAGAAAAGTACTCAGTATGATACAACTATTCGTCAATTCCCTCCTGGAGCAAAGAAAAATGAAGAAAATCAAAGATTCCAGGAAATAATTAGTCCACAGGACTAATGGATTACATGAGCTACAGTCTCCACTAGCCTGAGAACAGAAGAACTAGATGGTGCCCGGCTAACACTACAGACGACTCTGATCAGGATCTCAACAAAAAGTCCAGGAAAGAGCGGAAGAAAATTTTTGAAAAAATTCGAAACCAGAAGAAAGACCAATGTTACTGGGCTGGTAGAAACTGATGGTGGTGGTGTTATTAAGTGCTGTAGAGTTGTTTCTGACTCAGAGTGACCTAGAATTAAACACCGTCTGGTCCTGGGCCAACCTAACAATTGTTGTTATGCTTGTGCCAATTGTTGCGGTCACTGTGCCCATCCACGTCGTTAGGATTTTTCCTCTTTTTCACTGACCCTCCACTTTACCTAGCATAATGTCCTTCTCCAGTGTCTGGTCCCTCCTGATAATATGTCTGAAGTATGAGAGATGAAACCTTGAACTCCTGGCTTCTAAGAATATATATATTCTAACTATAACTTCTTCCAATATAGATTTGGTTGCTCTTTTGGCAGTTACAATACTTTTAATATTAATTCCAACACCATAACTCAAAAGCATCAATTCTTCTATGGTCTTCCTTATTCACTGTCCAACTTCAGCATGCATATGAAGCTACTAAAAATACCATGGCTTGCATCAGGCACACCTTAGTCCTTAAACTGACATCTTTGCTCTTCAACATTTAAAAAGGTATTGTGCAGCAGATTTACCGAATCTAATATGTTGTTTGATTTCTCAACTGCTGCTTCCATGAGTGTTAATAGTGGGTCCAAGCAAAAGGAAGTCTCTGATAACTTCAATCTTTTCTCCATTTATCATGATGTTATTTTCTGGTCCAGTGGTGAGGAATTCTGTTTTCTTTACACTGAAGTGCAACCCATTCTGAAGGCTGTTGTCTTGACCTTTATCAGGAAATATTTTAAGACCTCCTTGCTTTCAGCAAGCAATGTTGTATCATCTGCATGCTGCAGGTTGTTAACGATCTTCCTCCAATCCTAATTCCACGTTATTCTTCATATAATGCAGCTTCTTAGATTACTGGCTCAGCATGCAGATTGACTAAGTATGGAAAAAGAAGACAGCCCTGGTGCACTCCTTTCATGATTTTAAGCCATTCCTCGTTCTACTGTAACAGCTGTACCCTTCCTTGTTTTGTTGTAACAGCTGCCTCTTGGTCTGTGAACAGGATTCTCATGAGCATAATTAAGTGTTCCAGAATACCCATTCTCCACAATGTTGTCCACAGCTTGTCAAGATCCACATAGTGGGAAGACTGTGCATAGTAAGTAAAGCACAGGTAAATATGTTTCTGCTATTCCCAGCTTTCAGCCAAGATCTATCAGACTTCAGCATTGGTATCCTTTGATCCAGGTCCTCATCTGAACCCAGACTGCAACTATGGTAATTCTCTGTCAATGTACTATTGCAGTCATTTGTGAATTATCTCCAGCAAAATTTTATGTGCATGTGATATTAATACTATATATTGATTTCTGCATTTTGTTGATTTGTCTCTTTGGAATGGACACAAAGATCTTTTCCAATCAGATGGCCAGGTAGCTGTCTTCTAAATTTTCTGGCATAGATGAGTGAGCACCTCCACTGCTGCATCAGTTTGTTGGGGGATTTCAATTTGTATTCCATCAATTCCTTCAGTGAACCTTGAACTTCTTCCTTCATCACCAGTGACTCTTGATCATATGCTACCTCTTGAAACGGTTGAACATACTCCATTTCTTTTTGGTACAGTGACTCTGTATATACCTTCCACCATCTTTTGATGCTTTCCACAACATTCCATATTTTGCCCAAAGAATTCTTCAATATTGCAAGCTGAGGCTTGGTTTTTTTTTTTTCAGTTCTTTCACTTTGAGAAATGCTGAGCCAGTAATTCCCTGTTGGTTTTCTAACTTCAAGTCTTTGTACATTTCATGAACATTTGACTGTGTCTTCTCGAGCATCTCTTTGAAATTTTCTGCTCACCTCTTTTACGTCCTCATTTAATTCATTTGTTTTAGCCTCTCTATGCTAGAGAGCAAGTTTCAATCTCTTCTGACATCCATTTTGGTCTTTTCCTTTCTTGTCTCCTTTTGCTTCTTTCTGTATGATATTCTTGATGTCCTCCCACAACTCTTCTGATCTTCAGTCATTAGTGTCTAATGTACAAAAAAAATGTCTAAATTCAGATGGGATATGTTCAAGGTCATTTTGGCTCTTGTGGATTTGATTTAATTATCTTCAGCTTCAGCCTGAACTTGCACATGAGTAATAGATGGTCTGCTGTTTCATAGCTTGTCCCTGTCCTTCTTTTGGCTGATGAAGAAGAACTTTTACACAATCTCTTACAAAAGGAGAGTCTATTTGATTCCATGAATATAGTCTTCTATGTTGTTTAAGAAAGGCATCTACAATGAATAAGTCATTGGTCCTGAAAAATTCCATCATGCATTGTTTCTATCACCCAGGCTGTATTTTCCCACTATTGATCCTTCCTCTTTCTTTCCACCCTTTCCATTCCAATCACCAGTAATTATCAATACATCCTGATTGCATGTTAAATCAATTTCAGAATGAAGAAGTTAGAATTCTTCAAGTTCATCATTATTGGCTTTGGTGGTGGAGAGCATAAATATGAACAATAGTGGTATTAATTGGTCTTCCTTGTAGACAAATGGTTATTATCCTATCATAGACAGCAGTATACTTCAAGACAGATCTTAAAACTTTCTTTTTGATGATGAATGCAATGCCATTCCTCTTCAATTTGCCATTCCTGGCATAGTAAACCATGTGACTGTCAAATTCAAAATGGCCAATACCAATCCATGTCAGCTTACTAATGCCTAGGATATTAATCTTTACACATTCTGTTCGATTTTTGACAACTTTCAATTTTTCTAGATTCATACTTCGTACATTCCATGTTCCGATTATTAATGGATGTTTATAGATGTGTCTCTTCATTTTGAGTTATGCCCCATAAACAAATGAAGATCCTGAAAGTTTTAATCCATTTGCATCATCATAGTCAACTCTATCTTGAGGGGGCAGCTCTTTTCCAGTCATATTTTGAGTGCCTTACATACAACCCAAGGGGCTGACTATCCTCTGACACTGTATTTGACAATATTCTGGTGCTATCTGGTGCAATATTCCACTGCTCTTCATGAGGCTTTCAGTGGCTAAACACTCAGAACTAGTCTGTCTCTTTCTTCTCCTAGTCTTAGTCTAGAAGAACAGTTGAATCCTGCCCACCATGGGAGACCCTGGTGATATTTAAAATAATGGTGGCATAGCTTCCAGAATCACAGCAACATGCAAACCACCACAGTACAACAAGCCAACAGAACCCCTGAAACTAGGACCCTTAAACACCCTTCAAGCCTGGAAGTGAACCCACTCTCAGAGATCACCTTTCAACCAAACAAAAAACCAATAAAATGAACAACAATACCCATGAAGAACATGCTCCTTAGAACATCAAGCCCCAAAGGGTAGCATTTTCCCAAAAGTAAAGTTCAAAAGGCCGGAGGAATAGAAAAGATGAGCAAATGGAAACAGGGAACCCATGGAGGAAGTGGAAGAGTGCTACTACATTGAGGAGTTTACAACGAACAACATGAAACAATATCTGCATATATTGTTGAATGGCAAATTAATGTGCTCTGCAACCTTTCACTCAAACACCAATGTTTAAAAAAAAAAAGCACCTAAAAACTTTAAAGATAACCATAGTTGTATTTTTTTAAATGTAGTATCCTGAGACTATCTACAAATCTATTTTGACTTGCTAAAATAGTGAATCCTTAGAGTAAATGAAAAACTAGCTTAGATTTTTGATGACTCTATATCTCTTCTGTAGGTTTTTGCAGAACTCTTTAACTAACTTCTAGGATATATGGTTTATTAAAAGGAATAGATAAGGAAAAAATACGGTAGAAAAAAATCTTAAGGAAAAAAATAATAGTCTTTAAACTAGTTAAAATAGGATTATTGTTAAGTACCATCAAGTTAGTTCCAACCCGTAACGATCCTGTATAGGGTTTCCAAGGAGCGGCTGGTGAATTTGAACCGCTAAACTTGTAGTACAAACTGACCTTGAGGTCAAGTGCTTATCCTATGGTGCCACATAGATTATGCTAATTTTAAGTTCAAAATAAATGTGGTTGTGATATTCTCAGATATTTTCATGACCGCAGAAAACTCCTACTATATAAGAAAATATTATTTTCACCATAGAATAATAATAATAGTGTTGCTGTTAAGTGTCATCAAGCAGGTTCCAACTCACAGCGACTCTGCATAGGGTTTCCAAGGAACAGCTGGTGGGTTTGAACTGCCAACCTTAGGGTTAGCAGTCTTGTGCTTAACCTATAGTGTTATACCAGGACTCCATAATAGCATGTAACATTTACTTCATGTTTTTATTAGCTGTTTCATGGAAGAAAGATGAGGCTTTCTGCTTCTGTAAAGATTTACAGCCTCAGAAACCCTATACAGGGTCGCTATGAGTTGGAACCGACTCCACAGCACATAACAACAACAGACTGATCTGCAGAGTCCTGGTGTGGTGCTGTGGATTAATGCGCCAGACTGCAAAGCCATTTGAACTGCAAGGTCAGTAGTTCAAGCTCACCAGCTGCTCCTTGAAAACCCTATACAGGGTGGCTATGGGTCGGAATCGACTCGATGGCACTAGACAACAACATACTAATTTGCATACTGGATTTTCACTATGCCATCAAAAATGGGTTTGTCCTATTTTCAAGTGAGGAAATTTAAGGTTCAAAAGGTCAATACTGTTGGTCCCATTATCATACCCAAAGTGCCAGGGCTAGCTTAAACTATAAAAGGTAAACTCTTAACGACTATAATAAACTATTTATCTATATTAGGGATCTCAGCTTGACAAAAAAACAAGTTTTTAAATATTATTATAGATCTTAGATCTATCAAAAAGTTTTGTACAGGAATTTTTCTACATAAATATTAATTGTGTTCATGTCTAATAAGCATAAGAATATGAAATTATTTTATTTAGATTCCAATTTATTAAGAACTATAGATCCAAAAATTAAGATTTCCATAAATCTTATAATCTTTATAATTTAAGTGTGATAATATATGCTCTGCTATAAACTGGTAGTGTGAAGAACTACTTCTACTAATGATGCCACACCAAATCTTTTTTCAAATATAAAACTAAATAGTTGGACTCAGAATAAAAAAATATTTTTTTGAAACAAGATAGAAGTATAAAATATAATGTCCTGGTTGGTGCTATAGGATAAGCACTAGACTGCTAACGTCAAGGTCAGCACTTCAAACCCACCAGCCACTCTCATAAACCCTATGTAGGGTGATTATGAGTAGGAATCGACGGCACACCACAACAAACAATAACAATGTGATACCTACCTTCCAAAATGAGGCCTAAATAAATAAACGTGGTGCCTCATAGAACTCGTCAGAAAATGACAGACATCAAATTCACTTCAAGGTAAACAATCAAAGGTTAGATCACGCCATCTTGAGTACCCGGGCATCACTGTAGTTCCCCTTCTTGCCTTTCCTAGACTCATCCTTCTTTCTTATTAACTGGAGGGTTTACTGTTGCTACTAGATTTGCTAGATTTGTTGGGAGTGCTGGTGTGGCACTTTAGGCTATTCCCTGGGCCTCAAGGTTGGTTTGAACTACAAGGTAAGTGGTTCAAACCCACCAGCTGCTCCTCAGAAATCCTACATAGGATCAGTATGAGTCAGAACCGACTCGACAACACTAAAACAACGAGAAGCTGGATTTGTTGGAAGTAATCAGAAGATACAATTAATGAGGCATTCTCCTTATAAAAGTGTTTAAATATTGGGGACTGGGGATATTTCCAGGGGGAAAATCAACTGTGCAAAGAGTTACCTGGAAAGTAACTGTACCATGTTAGAGAGTTCTTAAATAGCTCACACAAACAAGGTAGTAACCAATTCCATTTCGTCTACGGTATTAGACCACAACTCTACAGCTCACAAGCACCATTTCAAACTGACAGGTTCTTATCTCCATTACGTATTATATGGTTAAATAAAAGCTTTTTAGTTGTCAGGCCTTCCTTCACATCTTTTAAAAAACTGAAAATAAGGTTGCTATAACACCTGCTCCTCACTAATCGACAGAGTTAGATTCCAAAGACCAGGTCTTTATGTAAAAATCCACGTTGTACAAAAATGGAGGGTAAGCCTAACAGGTCTCAAAATGGATATATCTGCCAAATTACATCATTACACAACTGTCACTGAGAATCATGGCCCAGCCACATTGACAAATCACCTTAATCATGATACAGCCAGTATTACACTCGCTTCCTACCATAGCATTTGTTACTCCCCCACCTACATTGTTAATGTAAAAAACAGCTATTTACTATTTTCATTAATGTAAAATGTCAGATAACGATACAGTCAATACGTGAGGCATAAGTGTATTGGTTAAGATCTAACACCAGGACTTCTAGAATTTGGCTTTCAGGACCAGTAAATTTTAAGACCTGGAGATTCATATTGGATTAGAAAATAGGACTTTTCTTTTTTTAAGTAGCATCTATTATTATATATCATTCATAAAAGGAAACTTTAACTAAGAAGCAAGTAGACTGAAGGGTGATCCTTAAATTGAAAAAATTTTTCGTTTTCCTTCAATGAAAACTCCCTCATAGCCAGCTTACACTTGAAATAAAAATGAAACCCAAGTGTTCAAAGGAAAGCATTCTTGACTGAATCAGGCTCACTGACTTATCTCTCAGTCAACAGATGAATATAAACACTCTGAATTTGTTTCCTTTTCTATTAAATGGAAATGAATACTCTATCTAGCTCACAGGGCTACAGTGAAAACCAAAGGAACAAATGTAGTATAGTAGTCTGAGAAAAAGTCATCTAGACCATCCAACTTACCATCAGCTGATTGAGTAAACAATGCATAATCGGGATTGACTATCTCATTAGATAGAATATCAAACCACTCACGTACCACACCTTGACCCTGAGTTCAAGAAAATAAAATTAAACATCAACAGAAATATTTCACATGGAGATCTTTTTTCTAAATAACAGCAAAATTAAAATCATATTAAATTTTTTCCACATCAATTAAATATCAAATTTTACTCAATGACATTTCGATGTTTTATATACAGTGATCTCTAGATGGCATATCTTATACCCACCATGCCTTCTTCCCCATGGAACCGCACAGCAATCCCTTGCTTTAGTTTTGCACAATTTGCTTTTGAAACAACTTCACAGCTACTCCTAAAAATAGAATCTAAATATGTAGCACAGATTAATTTTACATATTAAAATTCATAATAAAAAATGTTTTGTGCCTCACGCACATACTCAGTTGTCTGTAAACATACCTCTGTGAACCAGCAAGATGTCATTTTCATTCACCGGCCTGTGCACCATGTCTGAATCCGGTTGCCCTGAATGCAAATGTTCATAGAACCACTCACAACGATCTTTAAATGGCTGTACACACACCAGAAAAGAAAGAAAAAGTAAATATGTTAGCAGCATTTCAGGTGCCTAATTATCAGATTATCATTCCTATACCCTTATTTATAATATGTAGCATTAGGTAATGTTCTAACATTTCAAATATTCACAAAAAAGGCAACACCTTAGCTGAAAAGCTTTGAATATGTGAAGAACGTGTTTTCTAAAATTTCATACCATTTTCAACAGAAAAGACTTGATAAATTAGTTTTTATCTAAGAAATTAGTATCAGATATGCAGTTGAACACAATTACTCTTAATTTCTTTTAAATCCAACAAGGATTATAAGAACAAACCTTCACAAATAGAAAAAATTATATATCGTGTTCCATTTAATTTTTAATAAAATCTTTAATACCTAACTTTATTCTGATCTTTATTCATCTTTTGTGATATATAAACAACTAAAAAGGAATCTGCTACCCTTTTTTCTTTCTCTATCCTGAAAATTGAAAAACTGTATCTTTTGAGCAGTTACGGAAGTCTTTCTTTACCTTTTTGTTCATCTGTCAGATAAGTAAACTGCAAGTAATTTGTAATTATTATGACTAATCAGAAAGTATTACTATGTACCTAGCATGTATCTAACACTTCAGGCCACATAAAAGCAGCTAAAATAAAAAAAAAAGTTATAATCTCATTTTCATTGCTAAAACCTATTTAATACAGTTGAAGACATTATACTAGCATACCATGTTGTTGTTGTTATGTGCCATGGAGTCGGTTCTGACTCATAGCGACCCTGTACAGGGTTTCTGAGGCTATAAATTTTTACAGAAGCAGAACACCTCATCTTTCTCCCACAGAACAGCTGGTAGTTTTGAACTGCTGACCCTGAGGTTCACAGCACAATTCATAACCACTACGCTACCAGAGCTCCTTTAGCATACCATTGTTGTTGTTGTTGTGTGCCATCAAGTCGGTTCCGACCCATAGCGACCCTGTATAGGGTTTCCGAGGGTGTAAATCTTTACGGGAGTAGAAAGCCTCATCTTTCTCCCGCGGAACAGCTGGCAGTTTCGAACCGCTGACCTTAAGGTTCGCAGCCCGATTCGTAACCACTACGCTATCAGAGCTCCTTTTTAGTACACCATAGTATATATTTAATTTCACAGTATTGAAAGTACCATGGGCTGCCAAAAGAACAAACAGATCTGTGTTAGAAGAAGTACAGCCAGAGTGCTCCTTGGAGGCCATGATGGCCAGGCTTCATCTCTCATATTTTGGAAATATTTTCAGGAGGGACCAGTCACTAAAGAGGGATATCATGTTTGGTAAGGTGGAGGGTGGGAGAAAAAGAGGAAGACCCCCAGAGAGCTGGATTGGTAGAGTGGCAGCATCAATGGGCTCAAGTGTAGCAACAACTGTGAGGTTGGCACAGCACCGGGCAATGTTTTGTTCTGTTGTGCATAGGGTCGCTATGAGTCAGTACCAACTCGATAGCACCTAACAACAAACAAACAAGGATGCAGAGATGACAGATGCACTAAGAACTTAGAGACAGTACAGATGAGTGAAATGCAAAGTTTGAATTAGCATTTAAATACAGCTGGGTAGGACTTACTGAAGTCAGGAGAAAAAAAGGCACTTCAAGCTAAAAGAATCATGGCAAAGGGCAACAGAGACAGTCTCCTTGCAAGATGGAGTGAAGACACTGGCATAACAGAATCCTATCTCCACACATGTTGAAAGAAATAGTTTGTATAAATAACTGAGCACATAATTATGGAACTAGAAGATCAAGTAAAAGATGCTGGGGCCATTGTAGACATTTGGTAAGAGAAATAAATGCAATAATTAAAATGGGTTTAGCCAATTGACTTGGTGTCCCTCAAGCCTATGGCCCTAAGCCCCAAGACATGTTTGTTCTGCACCCTACTTTGTTGAGCAGTGACTGAGGTCTTAACAGCTCGTGAGTAGTTATCTGAGGTGCACTATTGGTCTCTCCCTGTACAGAGAAAAGAAGAGTGATAAAAGTTGAAGATGCTTAGGTACAAGTAGTCCAATGGACTAACCATCCAGAAGTGCTAGATGGTATTCCCAACTACCACTATCAACTGCTCTAAAAGGATCAGATTAGAAGGTCCTGGTTAGAGTGGGACAAAAATGTGGAACAAAACTCAAAGTCATTACAAAGACCAGGCTTACTGGTTCAACCGAGACTGGGAGAACTATAGACTATGACCCTTAGTCACCCTTCAAGTCTGAAACTAACCTCATTCCCATGACTCAATTTTCAGCTAGACAACAGACAGATCTACAAGAGGAATAACAGCACAAGTGAGGTACACACACTGTAGAAGTATCAACTGTTTGAGATCAAAAGGGAAGCATTTACCAAGGACAAAATTCAGAAGTGTTAGGAAGAGAGGAGGAATGGAAATGAGAAACACAGTGAGGAAGGGGAGTAAGTGGTGTTACAATGAAGGGATTGCAACCAATGAGATGAAACAAAATATGTGTGAATTGCTAAATAAAAAAATGATGATCTGCTCTGTAAACTGTCACCCAATTCATAACAAAAAAGTTTAGAAAATTAAAATAAAAAATACAGTGGATGTAGCACCAGTGTAAAGGAAGGTTAGCTGGGATACTAATAATAGGTATCAGATGCTAAGGCCCTGGTTATGATAGGAAAGGGAGTCCTGGTGTGATTCTGTGAGACAAACCACTGGACCTCAGGGTCCATTTGAACCACAATGTCAGCGGTTCAAACTTACCAGCTGATCATTGGAAACTCGATACAGGGTAACTATGAGCCAGAACTGACTTGACAGCACTTTAAAACAACATGCTAGAAAAGAATAAAAAAATAAAACCGAAAGTCACTGCTGCTTTGAATAAAGATGAAAAGTCAGAGAAGATTTCAAGGTCTAGAACAGGGATGGTGAGCCTTTTTTCTGCCAAAATTTGTAACATTACTCATAGGCCATACAAATTTATCAACTTAAAAATCAGCCTGCTATATTTGGTCAAACATTTAATTAGCTCACTCACCCCAATGGGATGGCTGGAACTGCAGTTGGCTTTGGCAGAGCCAGACCAAATGATTCCGTGGGTCTTATACTTATTAACAGAAACAGCCTAGGATAAAGATCCTCTTGCTTCCATCACCTACACCCATTTTTCCAAAAGACACTGGTGGGAAAACTAGTAAGGTTTTGTTGTTGTTGTTAAGTGCCATCGTGTTGGTTTTGACTCACAGCCACCCTGGGTTTCTGAGGAGCCACTAGTAGGTTTGATCTGTCGACCTGTGCTCATCTATAGTGCCAGGCCAGGAGTCTAAATAAGGTTTTAAGTATTCTTAATTTATAAGGTTATTGTGGGAAATACCTACTAGGGACCTGGAGATACCAAATGTGCTCTACCTCCAAGACTGGAAACAGAGCTATATATAAAGTTGAAGGTAAAAAGAAAGGGCTAGGTCTCTTGCTCAAGAGATAAAAAAATGTAGGAAAACAAACACCAAGGACTGAGAAGTTTATGATTATAGGTCAGGAATGAAAACCATTTAACAAATGATACAAAAAACTAGAAAAGTCACAGAGTGTAATGTCACAAAAATCCAGAGCCTCAACACATCCATACAACCCATACCATCCAACACCATAACACACACAGACAGCCCATACCATCCAACACCACAACAAACAGACAGACCATACCATACAACATCACAACACACACAGACAGCCCACACCATACATCACAACACATACAGACAGCCTATACCATACAACACCACAACACACATAGACAGCCCATACCATACAACACAACACACAGACAGCCCAAACCATACAACACAACACACAGACAGCCCATACCATCCAACACCATAACACACACAGACAGCCTATATCATCCAACACAACACACACAGACAGCCCATACCACCCAACACCACAACACACACAGCCCATACCATCCAACATAATACACTCAGATAGCCCATACCATCCACACAATACATACAGACAGCCCATACCATCCAACACCATAACACACACAGACAGCCCATACCATACAACACAACACACACAGACCATACCATCCAACACTGCAACACCTACAGACAGCTCATACCATCCAACACCACAACAGAGACAATCCACACCATACAACACAACACACACAGACAGCCTATACCATACAACACCACAACACACACAGACAGTCCATACCATACAACACAACACATACAGACAGCCTATACCATACAACACCACAACACACAGACAGTCCATACCATACAACACAACACACACAGACAGCCCATACCATACAACACCACAACACACATAGACAGTCCATACCATACAACAAAACACATACAGACAGCCCATACCATACAATACCACAACACACATAGACAGTCAATACCATACATCACAACACATACAGATAACCTATACCATACAACACCACAACACACAGACCATCCATACCATACAACACAACACACAAAGATAGCCTATACCATACAACACCACAACACACATAGACAGTCCATACCATAGATCAAAACACACACAGACAGCCCATACAACACCACAACACACAGACAGCCCATACCATACATCACAACACATACAGACAGCCTATACCATACAACACCACAACACACATAGACAGTCCATACCATACAACACAACACATACAGACAGCCCATACCATACAACACTACAACACACATAGACAGTCCATACCATACAACATAACACATACAAACAGCCCATAACACATCCAGCACCACAACACATAAAGACAAGCCATACTACATCCAATGCAACACATACAGACAACTCATACTATACAACAGTACAAAAGAGCTATCACTCAGGCAGTTTCTAGGACATAAGTAAATGTCTTAAAAAAAAAACTATACTTAGTTTTACTTTAAAAAAACTTAAATATTACATTTTTGTTAACTCTTAACAAAAATATTATTATTATCATAATAACTGGTGAGATTAACTTCTGCTTTTAATATTTACTTTCAGTAAGAAAAGACCACATTTTTTTTAATTAAATGTACAATTTTGTCCATATTCTAATCGTATTCCATGATTTTAATAAAGACACTTGCTATTTAGTGCATAAGCAAAATATTTCACTATTAGTAAACAGACTGAAACAAAGTTCTTGAAATTTTAATGTTATTTCTAAAACTTTGATAAAAGAGAGAGAAAGAACACTACATAACAGTAACGTATTTTACATAACAGTAATGTTTTTAAGTACAGGTTTTAAAATCAGATAAATACGGATCCAAATGCAAACTGTCACTGACTAAGTTTATAGCTTAGGGAAATTTCTAATCCTCTCAAAACTTTAGTTTCCTCACCTGTAAGGAAGGATGATCATCTCTACATTCAATTGTGATTAAATAAATAGGAAAACAGAACACAATGATAATAAGTTTAATAATAATATTATTGCTGTTGCTAAATGTTATTGAGTTGGTTCCAACTCACAGCAATCCTAGGTATAGGTTTCTGAGGTTTTAAATCTTCAGGGGAGCAAAAAGTCTCATCTTTCTCCCACAGAGTGGCTGGTGGGCTGGAACTACAGACCTTGTGGTTTGCAGTCCAGTTTTTCTCATAGGAAGCCATCGCACTCCCTAATCATGTTGTTGTTGTTGCTAACTGCTGTCAAGTCATTTCCGACTTGTAGGGACTCTGTAAGAGGGTTTCCAAGGAGCAGCTGCTGGGTTTGAACCGCTGATCCTGTGGCTCAAAGTCCAGTGCTTATCCTATAGCACCCCATCAGAATAACAAATGCTCATTCAGTACCTACAAGCCAGTTACGGGAGTGCTGTGGCTCTGTAGGATAAGCTCTGTAGGATAACCACAGCTCAGCAGTTCCAGCCCAACAGCTCTTCTGCAAAACAAAGCTGAAGCTTTCCGTTCCCACAAAAGATTTAAAACTCAGAAACCTTATACAGGGTTGTTGTAAGTTAGAACCAACTCGAAGGCACTTAACAACAACAAATGCAGGTATGTTTTAAGCATTAGCTCATGAATTATCACATGTAATCCTTACAACAGTAAGAGGAAATGGACTCCTATTCTCTCCATTTTACAGAAAATAAAAATACAGCACCAAGAAGTAACTTGTGGAATACTCAACAAGCAGATACTCAATATATAGGCATTGTTCTGGTTATCAATCAGCTATGTCAAAATTATTGTGAAAATGTTAAAATAACATGAAATTTACTTACCAATGTAAGATATGAAATATAAAAATCATGCCTTTTAACAGTAAAATGTGAACCAAGAAATAAAAGTAAATGACAATTGTTTTAAGTAACTGAAATGGAACATGAAACGGTAGAAAACACTACCTTTGAAAACTAATCAGGTATAGATCTGTGAGATCAAGATCGGAATCAAAACACACACACACAGATAGCCAAAGGGTACATTTCTTTATGTAAACTTTCTAAGTACCTGGTTTCGATAAAATAATTCACAAAACAGGACTGATTACAGAGGATCCTCTTAATAGCATTTGTACAGCTATACACAACGTCTCTCCCTGTAACTACTGGCCACCTGAAAACCACCAACATAACAAGAAGTCAAACCCTTAGCAGAGGTAGTTTTCTGTTTTGTTTTTAACATTTTTTGGTGAGTAGGAGAGGGAACAGACTCCCAAATCACTGAAAATTTCCAAGTCCAAAAAAGAACAAAGCACTTTGTATTTTTCTAATATGAGAGTAAGCTGCCAAAATCATGTCCCACCACCCATAAATACTGCTTAGTGTATCTATTTCCTACATGTAGAGAATTCTCCTATACAACCAGATAACAATCATTATCAGGAAATTAATACTAACACTGATACACTACTACATCGAATCCTTCTATCACATTTTAAATTTTGGCAATTGTTCTAGTAATGACCTTTATATAGCAAAAGGGCCCACAGTCAGTTGTATTTAATTGTTCTATCTCTTTCAATAGTATCATTATTAAACAGAGGTGAAAGAGTCCAATAAACATGTGTATCATTTGCTAAAACTTCGTGTTTTTGAAAAAGTCAGTCTCCCTAAAGATACTAAACAATATCTATAGCATTAATTGTCATCAGCCTAGACAGTTTGTGACAAGTCATTTTCCTAAAACTTTGCCAGGATCATGTCTCTCGGGAAGCAAAATTATTGGTGACTCCTAAACAGCCTAACAAACAAAAGATTCTTCAATCTGGAGACCAAGGCTCAACACAGTTTGACCCCAACCTCTCTTTCCAAAACTATATCTTGCTCCTCATCTATACAGACGATCCGCTCCAGTCACTGCTGTTTTATACTTTTCCACCCATGACCTGACCTAAACCTTGGCCAGCTAATGTTCATCCTTTCTGTCTACTCCAACCAAAATTTTGCACATTTTTTCAAGGTTCAGCTTAAAATCTATCTCCTCTTTGAAATGTACCTTGACTACAGAAGCCAGGAAGTAAACTCTTCCTTCCTCAAGAAATAGCTAATACTGTAAGTACTATTTTATAGCTATAATCATTATCTTCCCTATTAGATTTAATCAACATCTACTTGGACATGGGAAACATGCTTTGCATTTTCAAAACTACCACTTACTGAGCAATAACTATATACAAGTCACTCTTTATAATTTATCTTCACTTGTTAGGAAGGACCAGCCGTTGGAAAAGAATATCATGTTTGGTAAAGTGGAGGGTCAGAGAAAAAGAGGAAAACCCCCAATGAGATGGATTAGCCAAGTGGCAGCATCAATGGGCTCAAGTATGGCAACAATTGTGAGGTTGGCCCAGGACCGGGCAGTGTTTCGTTCTGTTGTGCAAAAGGTCGCTATGAGTCAGTACCGACTCGATGGCACCTAAAAAAAACAACAACATAGTTCTGAAGATGGTATCATATGCCCTGTTTTACAGAAGAAACAAAGGCTCAATAATCTTTAAAAAAAAAAAAAAAAAAAAAAGGTGCCTGATGTTATAGAGCTTGTAACATATTTCAAGAAACACAAGATATGTAGATGAACAGGGATAACACTGGGGCAATGTGGGACAGGGGGGAGAAGTTACTGAGTCATAAATTTGGAGAACTAACAAAGTTTAATCAATATTTTTACCAAAGGATTTCTCAATATCTTTCACATACTGCTGAAGTGCTTTATAAATCTCCAACAGAGCATATATCATATTTCCCATATATATCTAGAGAGAAATCCTTCTATGGCAAAACTAATGTCTAATGTTTAGGAAATGTGGCAATGTGTTTTGCTGTGTATGCACAAGCCTTTGCACATAGCTGTTGTTGTTAAGTGCTATCGAGTTGATTCCAACCCACTGTGACCCTGCATAGGGTTTCTGAGGAGCAGCCTCAGTGAATGTGAACCACCAATCTTGTAGTTCAAACTAACCTTGTGGTCCAGTGCTATATCCTAAAGTGTCAGGCATTCAATAAACATTTCTTAAAGAATAAAATTTACTCTTTACACTAAAGTAACATGTAATTTCATTCCCCTTACAGTAAGACATCTCAAGTACAATAACTGCTTAATTAAACAGTGTTCAAATAGAAATTCAAATTCATTTTCATTAGACAGACTAAAAACAAGATTCAGAGAAATTTCTACCTGTGCTTTAATGATATGCATGAACCTCGACATCAACTCAGGACATTCAAGGAGGAAGTGAAAGTGGTCAAATATTATTTTGGGATTTCTAAAAGAAAAAAAAAAACAAAACATTTTGTTTAAATGGACAAGAAGGATGAGTAGCATTACATGAGAAGAATAGTCAGAAATACATCAACATTGAAGCAACAAGTTCTGCTTAGTAACAGAAGCAACTTTTTGCCTGTTGAGATAAAACTTTAAGAAATGAAATGCTTTACCTGTTAACAAAGCACTTTAGAACTTCATCATGTTTGCAGACAAATTCAATGAAACGGGGTGAAGTCATACTGTAGGGAAAAAAATGTACTCAAACCACACAGATAAAACTTGGTGATACAGAAAATCTCACTGACTCCTACACCAAAAAATTTGGTATTTGGATCTTCTAAAATTATGAAACTCAGGTATGCCTACTTCATAGGTAAAATGAAGTAATAATATAATAACTTCCTATCAACATATAAAATAAGTAACTTTTTTACAATCTTGAAATTTTAAGCATCATTGCTGCTCTACACATTTCAAGTACATAATTAAGATGTCCTAAGCAAGGTGACATTTACCATTCTACATGGTAATAACATATATCAATTGCCTGAAATTATTTTTAGGGAGGCTTTTGATTAATGCAAGTAGCATTTTAAAACAAGATTAGGATAAAACTTTAAATAAATAAATGTTATTATTTGTTACTTAAATTATAAAATATCAGAACTTTTCTTCATGTCTCAGAGAAGAAAATAATAAGCAGAAACTGTCTTACCCTGGAGGCATCTGACAAGAACAGCACATGTAAAAAGCTTGAATGACAGCACTTAGCCGGTTAGCTGTCACAGAAATAACATCCTGACAATCTGCATTGGCTTCCTGTTTCCCTGCAAGAGCATCTGGTTTAGATTCCTTTGTGCTAGTGGATAGATTTTCATAGCTCTCAGGTCCTGGAGGTTCAAATGGAGAAATGGAAGTGGCATCTTGATGATTTGGGCCTTTTTGTTTCAGTAAAAGAGAAGTGATATCCGTTGAGTCCTCCTTATTTTTCATCAATTCTGTGGCTATTAAAACTAACCACTCATCTAATGAATGCCAAAGCAATTCCAGAGGCTAAAAGAAAAAGAAAAGCTTTTGGTTTTTTTCTAATATCTTTACTTAAACTCCAGGATAAATAACCCATATAATCAAACCAATACTGTAAAAGAGCATATTGACTCAAGATACCTGTATTCTCCCAAGTTAAATGACAGTAGTGGCAAAAGGTTAAGTAACAAAAGTATCTGAATGCCAGAAAAACAATTTCCTCATTTACAGCAAAAATTTCATTCATATTTATCTATTCCTTCGACTAAGGGGAAAAATGAAAATCTAAGGAAAATGAAAGATTTATAAGCAATCTTGCTTCTTTTAATTTTCAAACAATTAGTTTTAATGCAGATAGTCCTTCTATCCATATAATCCCCTTAACCCTTGCTGTATTAATATAATCAATGTCAGCAATTTCCAACCAGGTAAAATAAATCAATTAAAAATATGTGAATTCTCAATGAGGCTAAAAAGAGTTTAGTTTACTGAGTTCCATTCTTTACATGCCTAAAATTTTGATAATTTATGACAAATAACTTTAAAATGTAAAATTTTACATATATTCACAAATAAATACATACACACCTACACACATATACATGCTTCATTGTTGTTGTTGTTAAGTGCCTTTGAGTCAGTTCTGACTCAAGGCGACCCTATAGAGGATTCTGAACCACCAACATTGCGATTCACACCGACCCTGAAGTACAATGCTTACCCTACAGAACTACATGAGGACTATATAGGCTTCTTCTTTTTGTTAAGTGCCGTTGAGTCATAGTGGCCCTGTACAGGGTTTCCAAGGAGCCACTGGTAAGTTTGAATCCCCAACCTTGTGGTTCAAACCAACCTTGTATTCCAGTGGTCATCCTACACACACATACACATTCATGGAGAACTCATCATCTCTAGTAACTAGTCATTTTTAAAACAAGAACTACAATTACCAAAGCTTTAGCAAAATACTAATTAGTTCCAACTTATAGAAAAATAGGTGAAAGAAAGGGAGCAAACTCTATTATTCCTATTAATACCAAAAATATCCTTTTTGAAAATAATGAAAAAAATCTTTGAAAATTAAAAGCAAGTAAAATCTTACTTAATATTGTATAATTACAAATGCTACAAAAGGAAGATAAAATATAAAGATAAGTCCAAAAGTCCTGCTACAAAATCATAAACCCTTCATTAAAAATAACAAAATATAAAATTATTGGTTTTCAATATATCTACCATCTGGGTCTCTACACTTCTGAAGGCAGTGATTCTATCTCTCTAACCCTTCCCCAACAAATTTTATGCTCTTTTATTTACACATGTCAAAATGGCAGTTTTGGCATCCTGGAGGGACACAAATACTGTTCCATTTAAATGTTCTGAGTTTGGGGACAAAAAGAAGTCTGAAAGGCTACAGGATGGATGGGGTATGGCTTTCCAACATAATTCTCATAGTACAGCCTTTAAGAATTAGCAGGTACATTGTTGTAATGGGAACAATTCCTGAGCACAGCTTTCCTAGTATCTCTTTCACTCTGCAGTGTTCAATTTGGTTCAAACTTCTAATATCTATCTCCCCCACCCCACCTCCACTGTCCTGTGTCCTTCTAGAAAATCTATCGTCTACCCCTTTTGAATCTCTAAAACAATCACCATAACCTGTGAACTGATCTCTCTGCCCTGAATTCATCTTTGAGGTCTTCTTGACCTCCCTTTAAAATGCTTGATCTATCTGAAAACTGTTGTTTTATGTGGGATGTCTTCCTGCACACTTGTTGAAAAGCTTCAATGATTCAGGAAGATGCTTATTTTAGTTTTGTTAAAAATTTGATATTAAGTCCTGACCTTGAAATATTTTATTCTATAGCACAAAAAGTATCATTTTCCTTGAAGACACCCTAAAGACTAAGACAAATGTATTACTGAAAGACAAGTGTATTACTGAAAGAACTTGTCTGCAGTCATCCAATAAGAGCACAGACATGTTTAAACATAATTTATTTGGAATGAACTCATGCATACATGAACTAAAGCCCTAATAGCAATACTTTTTGACTAACCTTAGTGTATACATCAGCTCCAGTAATCAATAGTTTTTAAAACCACACAAAATACCAAGGAGCTATTAAAAGACTTGCTAGGACATTTTAAATTCCAAATAAATATTAACACTTACGAAAGGTGAGGTGGGTAAAAGGATCTTTCATTCAAATATATGCTATTTTAGATACTCCTACTGACAATGGTAAACTCTTTGTGTAAATGAATTAAAAAGGAAATTTTACTTTTTAAATTTTATGTGACTACTAAATGTGGCGTAGTGGTTACGAATTGGGCTGCGAATCGCAAAGTCAGCAATTCGAAACTACCAGCTGCTCCGCAAGAGAAAGATGAGGCTTTTTTCTACCATAAAGATTTATAGCCTCGGAAACCCTGTTCAGGGTTGCTATGTGTCTGAACCAACTCGACGGCACTTAACAACAACAACAATAACTGAATGCTAAAATATACGTCATGTGCTGCAGAAAACCTACTTCTTAAAATATTCAAACTAAATGAAAAAATATTACTTCTAAAGATTATATAAAAAGAGATTATATACCCATATTTGGAATCTCAAAAATATTTACACAACCTTTCTACAAGAAAATCTTTACTGTCTAACAAAACCTTGTACATCTTCAGCCTACATATCTTTCTTCAGATTCCTAGATCATCCTCTCTTTGAACCTTTTACTTATTGAATTTGCAAAAAAAAAAAAATCAATTATTAAACCAAAAAGTGGCCCTGCCCCCCCGCCACACACACACACACACGCAACACACACAAAAAGGCTACAAGATAAAGCACTGAACCACAAGGTCCGTTTGAACTACAAGGTCGACGGTTCAAAGTCACCAGTCGCTCCTCAGAAACTCTATACTCGGAAACAGGGTCACTATGAGTCGGAACCAACTGGATGTCACTGAACAACAACAACAAACCACCAACAAAAACCTAGTTCATTAAACAGATGGGCTTATAAAATAAATAATATCATCTCTGAGAACTGTGCTCTTTTAAAAATCATCTATATGAGAAGAAACAGTCACCATTTACTCTAGAGCAAAGATGAGAGAGTAACAGGGGACAGGAAAGCTAGATTAATGGAAATGTAAGAGACAGAACTAAAATAATACAAAAGTTGACCCACTGTGGAAAACCAATGTCACTGACCAATACATATGTTATTGTTTGCCATCGAGTCAGTTTCGACCCATAGCGACCCTGTATAAGGTTTCCAAGGTGAGTTTGGAACCACCAACCTTGCAGTTCAAACCAACCTAGAGGTCGAGTGCTTATCCTATAGCGACTCTGAACAATTATGTATAGAAATTATTAAATGGGAACCTAATTTGCTGTGTAAACTTTCACTAAAAGCCCAATAAGTTTAAAAACAAAAAACAACTAATTTATTCAACAAATATTTAACAAGTAGTTCCAGGCAGATAGGTATGCACAGTGTTTATAGTTCTAGATAGACAGGCAAGCACGGTGTTTATAGGTCTAGATAGGTAAGCACGGTGTTTATAGGTCTAGATAGACAGGTAAGCACAGTGTTTGCCTTTCTAAAACAAACCTTTCAGAGGTTCAAATGAGCACACAGACCCACAAAAGGGCACTTTTCCATAGCTGGGCTCAGAAGATGGCAAAAGATCCAAGGTTCCTGAGCTGACTAAAAGGGTAAAAAGCTACCATAAATACTGACATGATACCTTCCCTAAGAATGTACGGAAATTCTCATTATGATTCAAGTTTGAGCTTTCAGGTTTTTTCTTCAAGAGAAAAACATTAAACAATGTAGAAAGTGAAGACGAAATTTTTCATTTTAAAGCTATAACATAAACAATTTCATTTTATATTAGGAAATAAACTTCCAACACAGAAAGAAGAGGTGGTGGTATAAAACTGTGTAAAGCAAAAGAAAATGAGGAGGGGTAAAATCTAGAAAATCAACAAACTGGACGGAGAGGAAGCCTCAGGCAGTAAACGATACATGATCTTACAGAAGAGGCTCAATGAGAAACAATTCCATTCTCAAATGCTGTCAATATGCAAAAATTAAAGACAGATTTTCAATTATCCAGAAGTGATATCAAAGAAAAATATGGATCTGTGTAAAAAGGTTGATGACAATATAGATACAAAAAACCTATGAAACTGTTTTCAATAAAGGTGAACAGCAAAGATATTAAAAGAGAATGAGATATAAGAAAAAGAAGAACTAAAACTTCTTAGAACTTTCTTCTCTTATTTTTTATCTTTTCTGGTATCAAACATATGTACTAAAAACTAAGTCCAAACTCTGAGGTGTTTTCCCTATGAAGATCTACTCAAAATGTATTCCTCAATCATTTTTCTAAAAATCCTGAACAATAATGTTAATTTCTAACTGTGTTGGCAGCTATAGACAAAAAGAAATACATCTTAAAAATTAAAAATGAATCATTACATACTATATCAACGATGCTTTCTATATTGAGTAATGGTGTTGTTGTTGTTAAGTGCCGTCGAGTTGGTTCCAACTCATAGTGACCCTGTTCAGGGTTTCCAAGCAACAGCTAGTGGGTTTGACCTGCCAACCTTGTGGTTCGCAGCCCAATGCTGATCGCTACAGCGCCACACCAAGAGTCCATGCTGAGAAATGTTGCTGTTGTTCTGAAGTACCATCAAGTTGTTGCTGACTCATAGAGACCCAGTATAGGGTTTCTGAGGAGCCAGTGGTTAAGTTTGAAGCACCAATCCTGTGGTTCAAACCAACCTTGCAGTCCTGCACTTATCCTATAGTGTCACACCAGAAGTCCTTTATGAGAAATAAGGACATATGAAAGAAGATATGAAACTCCATATGTATCTATTGTTACCATACAACAATGTCAATGGATAGAGACAAAAGCAGCAAGCTTCTTAGCACTTTGAAAATAGTCTTAGTTCGTGTTTTTGAATGATCCTCATCATAGAATTATATTCTACATACAGTAACAATAATATGAGAATCATGATTTAATAACAGTTTTTAAGTTATATTTCAAAAGCGTAATATACAATCCCAAACTTGTTGGATAATTTAAAAACCTATGTGTGGAACAAATTTAAGAGAAAAGCACTGCAAACTTAGGCTCATTAGCAGAATTTTTAAATTCTCTTAGTCTGATGATTTTCAACTTAATGTTGTCAAATGTCACAACCAAAAAAGACAAGATCTTAAAGTTAAAAGTTTCTCAATCTTTCTATAAACTGTTAATAGTCAAAGTTTACTATTTACCATAAAGAGTCCATCATGGTTCAGAAGTCTAAATTGTCTTCCCATACTCACCCTGCTTCAGTAATAAGAACTGTCTTTCCTCCTTCATATGCTCCAAAGTTCCCAACACACTTGGGAACCACACCAGTAAAAATCTCTTAACACTGAAAGAATGGCTGGCTGAATGTTAAAATTAACTTTAAAAACTTCCGAAATAAATCAGAAAACTACTAACAGGATGTTAAACAATTTCACCTACAAAAACCACATGGCCTATAAACCCACTCATTTTTAAGAAAACCCATTAGCTAATCCAACATTAAAGTGGCATGTAATATATCCAGTTAACAAAATGGGAAGTAGTATCACTGTTACCTCAAAACTTGAATCCCTATATAATGAACATGGGCCTTCTGTATAGAATGACAATGGAGAACTTCTATTTTTATTCTCAGGAGTGAGAAAACAGATGACTTTGTCATCCCACAGATTCCTCCTCATTGATTCATAAAATTAGAGGAAATAAACTAATAAATTCCTTAAAACTAACAAACATTCATGTTTTTTTAAAATTAGCTGAATTTTGGAATAAAAATTCAAAATAAAAGTTTAAAATTTACGGAGGAAAAAAAAGTCATCAGTGGCAAAAGTACCATCTAGGACAGAAAATATTAC